CAAAAGAGGGCATTGGATCCTTTGGAACTGGAGTTACAGACAGTTGTTAGCTGCCATATGAGTGCTGGGAATCGAACCTGGGTCCTCTGCAAGAGCAACCAGTGCTCTTAACCACTGGGCCATCTCTCCAGCCCCAACTCATTTTTTTTTTAAAGGGCAAATATTTCATTAAACTACAGAAGAAAATGAACCTAGGTTTTTAATCCCTTTTTTTCCTAGTAACAAGGCATGAAGAACCAAGTATTACTAATTTGGGTTGAATAAAATATCATTCCAATAATAAAAAAGAACAACCTAATTTTAAAAACTGACAAAGGACTTGAAGACAATTTCTCCAAAGAATATATGTAATGAATAATAAGTGCATGAAAAGATGCTCATCACTGATGATTAAGAAATGCCAATCAAAACTGCAGTAAGACTGCTTTGAACCCATCTAAACAGGTTTTTTATTTAAGAAGGAGTAAAAACAAAACAGGTGTGCTGATGTGGAGAGTCGGAACCTTCATACACTCCTGATGAGAATGTAAAACAATGCAGCTGCTGTAAAAAAAAAAAAATAGTTTGGCAGCTCCTCAAAATGTTAAGCGTAGAACTGCTGTATGATCCAGCAGTTTCTCTTCTGGTTACATACCCAAAGGAATTGAAAGCAGAGTCGCAAACCATTAACACAGCCATGTTGACGTCACAGTATTCATGATAGCCAAATGATGGTGGGATCTGAGTGTGCATTAGTCACTACAGATAAACACAGTGTGTTAAACACTTATAGTAGAGTAGGATTCAGCCTTAAAAAGGAATCTGATACCAACAGCAATATCAATTAGCCTTGAGGGCATTATGCTAAGAGAAATAAGTCAGTTGCAAATTATGGGCAAATAGCATATGATTCCATTTGTAAGAGGTACTCAGAACGGTTAAATTCATAGACAAAAAATAGAGTGGTGATTGCCAGGAGCTGGAAGCAGGAGAGAATTGGTGAGTTAGTATTTAATATCCATTCATTTATTCTGAGTGTATGTGAGTCTACGTGGGAACCAGAGGAAAACCTGGTATTGCTCCTCAGGAGCCATATTTATGTGTGTGTGCACATGCATGTGTCAAGTACACATGTGGAGGTCTAAGGACAACTTTTAGGAGCTGGCTTTCTCCCTCAGCCATATGGATCTAGGAAAATTCAGGTCCTCAGTCTTGGTGGCAAGCACCTTTACCCACTAAGCCATCTCATTGGCCCCATGTTTTTTTTAAATAGAATTTCTCATTGACCTGGAGTTCATCAAGAAAACTAGACTGGCTGGCCAGCAAGCCCAGGGACCCTCCTGCCTCTGCCTCCCCAGAACTAGGATTACAAGCACACACACCCCCTGCACCCAGCTTTTTTACATGGAATCTGGGACTTGAACTCAGGTCCTCAAGTTTTTGTAGCAAGCATTTTACTGACTAAGCCACCTACCCAGCCCATGAGTTAGTATTTAATTGGAGATTTAGTTTGGGAAGGTAAACATTCTGAAAATGGATAGTGGTGGTGACTGCAAAATAATGTGTGAAAGTACTTACTGCAACCAAACCTTACACTTAAAAGTGGTTAAAAGCAACTCTGGGAGTGGTGGTGCATGCCTTTAATCCCAGCCAGAGTCAAGCTCTGTGAGACTGGATGCCAACCTGGTCTATATAGTGAGTTCTAGTTGGGCTGGAGCAAAGGAGAACCTGTCAAATAAATAAATAAATAAATAAATAAATAAATAAATAAAATTAATAATTAAATTACAAATTAAAAACATAAAAATGGTTAAAATCAGGCCTACAAGGCCTCAGTGGGTAAAGGCACTTGCCACCAAGCCTGACAAACTGAGTTCTATTCCTGGGACCCACATGGTAGAGGGAGAGAACTGACTCCCTCAAGTTATCCTCTGACTTACACACACACACACACACACACACACACACACACAGTGGCACACATCCACCCACACATATACACACAATAATAAAAAGGATGATGCATAAAACAAAAACTAATTTCTAGTCCCCTTACTTAGTGCCATACTGTTCGGTGACGGCCCTGTGCGGAGGGTGTCCTGTGTATTCACTTGTATCTTTGAGCTGCTGTGAAAGTGGAATTCTTCTACCATATAGTTTTAGGAAGTTCATCCCCACTGTTGGAGAGGAGATACCTCCTGGGGAAAAGATAGAGAGGCAGTATAGAAAGCGCTCACTGGGTTTCGGGGTTTGGCTTTCCAGACCCTGGGTTGAAGACAGGAAAGTTCCAGTCATCCCTTGGACCTTCCTCAAAATCTCCCATTTAAAAAAAAAAACCTGTCAGTGAACTGTCTGTCCCACCAGTAGCCTAACCCTGACTGTTGCACATTGCTTTCCTCCTCCTCCTCCCCCTCC